AGACGACTTTATCTACAAGCACATAATTGATACTGAGATGCGACAGGCTGTGTATCCTTAATAACTTGCCCCAAACTAGGCTGTTACAGTTCTGTATGTTGTTGTGTTGTGCAGTTTTCGGAATAATAGTCCTTTCGTTTAAGCGACTACCGTAAAGGATCTTCTAACAGACCTCCGAGGCGTTTATTTAATTTTGAGGGTCCAAAAGGAGGCGTTACTTAAGACTGTATTTGGGCATTCAATGTGTTTCCTGTCGTCTGTTGCAAAGGATGGCAAGGATGGACAAGGATTGAAACTTGAAAACAATGGGCCAACTTTTTTAAGTTTTAATGCTATGCCTGCAAAAGCCACCGAAAAGTTATTATTAATAATCCTCTCTTATGTCTTCATAACTCTACAAGAGCATTTTGCATATGGGTGTTATGGCACTAAGTAATAGAGAGCTATAGATTCTGAGACGAACAGGAACAAGTTATCAAATCTAAGAAGCTTTATCATTTTGCTATCGGGAGAGGGCTTAATCTCCTTCAGTATAAATAACCGTACTAACTTTTTTGGTGAAAAAAAGTAAAATGAAGCTTTCCGGGGTGTCTTTTTTTTTAACACGGGCAAAACCTTTAAGTTAAATCTCGTACTCGTACTCGTTCTCGTCCTCAAATCTAAAGCTCTCTAATGATGCTTCAACACAGAATTGACCTAAAACAGCAATACCTTCGTGACATAACCCCTTTGAAAGGGATGTGTCTCATAGCTGTTACAAGTTCAACAAAACTAATGTACAACAACAACAAGAAGTTTGTTTATGAATAAAGGGATTAATGGGGAGCTTAAGCAACAACGACGGTGACGACTACGAAAACGTCATCTTAAAAGTGAATTCGTGCTACTTTAAACTTTATCACGCTTATACCTTCTCGTTCAGTTTGTCGAATGTTGGCAAATGTTTCTGGAATTGAATTCAAATAGAGTGTATCGAAGATCAGTAAAAGAAAAAGAAAGTCGTCTTGTGATCATGTCCTTTACAAAAAGTGAAATTAGGCATTTTCTTGCCTGCGTCGTAGACGCTCTAAACCTTCTGGATAGAGCTATATTAATGGTTTAGATGAGTGCGTGGGCCGGCTGCAACGCAGGCTAGCATTTTCACGTCGCAGTCGTACAAAAAAGCGTGATGCGTGTCGCTGTTTTGCCAATCTAAGCCTTTTTTTTTTTTTGCCGTTCTTGTTGACTTCACCATAGTCGTTGCTTAAGTTCCCTATTGTATGTCACATTTGGCCTTAACTTAGTTAAGAATGTTGAAATGGCTGAGGACACTACCGGATCATTCTTACACCGACGAGAGAATGGAAGAAATTCAATCTAAACCTGATGACAACAGCAGTAAACTACATACAAAAACGGACGCAAACACTACAGCAGACCCTGCCGACAAATCCTGCTCTCCAATAGGGAGTAGTGATACAAAACTAGTTACCAAGGGAGGAGAGGCTGACAAGAACGAGGAAGTTGGAATATCAGAAGATCTCAGAGAAGTTGTCAAACAGGAAAAATAAGAAAATAAGTAAAAATAATAAAAATGAAAATACAGTACATCGCTGCATTCCCGTGGACTTCCTACGAAAGGCGTCGAGCGCTTAACATTTGTTCGAAAACAAACGGCCTTTTTGGGCAGCAGTTCAAGTGGACAGTCGTTTCTAACAGAAATTACTTTAAAAAAGAAAGAAATATGTTTAGAATTACAGTAAAAACCCTCATATAAGAACCAGTCGAGGTCAGGTTGAACAGGTCCTTGTGTTGTAGGGTAGTTTTTCACATTTCATAAGTTCTCAATGGGTTCTTATTTTTCAGAGGTTGTCGTAGTGCACTCATTGGCAGAAATATTGTACTACTAATACATAATGGTTTATGGAAAACATATTCCTAGTTAAAATACAAACAAAAACATATACACAATAACCTTCTGTCAGAAGTTCGTCACACAACTAAAGACCACAACTTTGACCATTAAAATTGAATTGATGTTTTGTATAAGAACCTATTTCTCTTTGCCAGGCTTAACAGGTTCTTATATTTTTGGGTATTTAAATGCAAAATTTTAGTTTGTACGTTCTATAATGACTAGGTTCGTATATGCAGGTTTTTACTGTATTCCACTTTTCTTGTTCCTACTGGAATGATATTAAACTGAAATTCTCTGTGTTACTAGGGACTTTTTTAAAAATAACTACTTCGCCGAAGCCAAGAACAACCCGCGCTCTTCATTCAAATTGTTTCATTTTGTGTAGTTTATGTGTCTGAAACGTCCATTGAATTCATAGGAAATTTTTAATTCCAGTGTCTTCACGTTCGCAATAAAAATCCTGAATTTTTAAATCATTTCAAATTGATGTTTGGGGGAGAGCAGAAGTAAAATATAGAAAAATAAACGCACGTGAAAAAGCAACGATAAGGACGACGGTGTCGAAAACGTTTCTTAAAAAGTGAATTCACGCTATTTCAAAATTCATTGCTCTTATTCCATGTCGTTCAATTAGTCAAATGTTGGTCAATTTTTCAGGAGTTGAAGGCTAGTTGAATTCTAAAGCCCCGTGCAAACGGACGCAACATTGTTGGCCAACAACTCCCACCATTGTTGGATGTTACATATCGCGTTCGTTTGCACACCTTGTTGCATGTTGTTGGATGTTGTTGCGTGTTGTTGCGCAAAGTTTGAAACCGGTCAAACTTTTCACCCAATAACTCCCAACATTTCTTTTGTTCCGTGATCGCCGAAGCGTAGCGCAACAATGTTGGATCCGTTTGCACAACTCTTCCAACATTGTTGGGGCCTCGCACGCGCATTACGCATGGTTTACAAAGACTTATGGGTTGTATCCTTCCCACGATGCACTGCAGGTCCCAATATTGTTGAGAGTTGTTGCATCCGTTTGCAGACCACTGCCAACACGCACGCAACAACTCCCAACATTGTTGGCGCAATAATGTTGGGAGTTGTTGCGTCCGTTTGCACGCAGCCTTAAGAACTGAATAATTGATAATAACAATAAAAAATAATAAAAAATTCGTTGACGTGTGTTCACGTCCTCCAGAAAACGTGAAATTAGGCAGTTACACGTCGTGTTCGTGCAACGACGGCAAAGAAATGTGCAAAAAAGCGTGATGCGCGCGCAAAGTTGTTGTTTTGCCAATCTAAACTTTTTGCAATTGTTTTGCCGTTGGCGTTGCCGTCGCCGTCGTCGTTGCTGAAGTTCCCTTATGTCCTGGTCAGTGTTTCAAGCACATGGTGTCTGTCTGTCCGCATACGTCAATCCATCCGTCCTGATTCAATGGTATCGGTTGTAGACAATGATTGGTTGGGTTTTTTCTTATTTCATAAGGAAGATACTGAACTCGGACGACTCCTTTTCTGGATAGAAAAAAAAAATTAGAATAGTTTAGTGAGTAGATAGCACTGGTCCCAGTTGCATAGGCCGGCCTAAAATTACTTTCCCAAAGCCCAAGGAAAATAAACGAAGGGGTGAGCTTCATCACAGGCGTCCCAAACTCACTATGTAAGCACGCTCTCTCTCTTTTGTCATGGTAAGGTTGGGAAGAAGGGAGAAAGAAATCGCGCGAGGAAGGAGGGAAAGGAAAAAAAATGAGGTTAGAGATTGGATTCCATCGTCCAGAACCACATTGGACACCTTATGATGTTTGCGCAAAATAATTCCCTGTATGGGAGTAAGCGCACTGACTATACAGTGATTAGCATATGCACTGACTCGAAATGGTTAATGTTCAATTTCGTTTTAGGTTTGTCACTATATGTATAAGTAAATCAAAAGGGTTATTGGCAGTTGAGTATTCCATGGTGAAGTGGTATAGGCGATGGGTTTCGGATCTCATGCCACTCTCAGTTTCCTTTTTTTTTTTTCTAACTTGAAGAGACTTCGACTTACAAACAAAGATATTTGCAAAGCAGAAATTTGAAGAGAGACTACGGAATTTTATGTAAGTGTAAGAGTAAGAAGGGAAATGGCTCTGGTTCCAGTTGTTCAAACGTGGATAGCGCTATCCACTGGATAAATCACTATCGAGTGGATAAGTATTACGAAAAACGATTGCGCTATCCTCTGGATAGAGACTTATCCAGTGGATAGCGTTATTCATCTTTTGAACAACCGAGGCCAGGACGATAGAATCGAATGCCGAACGAAGGAGAGAGGTTCCCCCCTTTTCCCTCTTCTCATCGTCCTCCGCTTGGGGGAAGCCTCTGCGGAGAAAAAGAAAAATTTAGCTATTTTTTTGCGCCTTCCCCCGTGGCGGGTGTCTAGCGCTTCCCGCTCACTTCGGGCTTGCTTTCGCTCACCTAGAAAACACCCCAAAATAACGCCTATGTTGTAGGCTAGTTTTAACTCGCCTTATCGTAGTTATTGTGAAGAACTATGCAAGATAGCTCTTGCCCCGGTTCGAAAACCGTAACTGATAGTGGTCCTGTTCACACATAAGCGCGATGATTTCAACGAGGTTTCCGTAAAGCCCGTGCGTCGCGCTAGACCTTGAAAGTGGATCGTCATATATCGGATAGGTTTCTGTTTCTCTTTGGCGCCGTGTGAACAGATTTCCATACTTGACCGGTATAGTGTACGCAAAGACTTACTTGGAAAAGTAAGTCGTATAGCCGTCGCATTTGCCCGGTGTTTGCTTTTGTTGTTGTTTTTAGGGTTAAAAGCAATGAAAAAAATAAAAAAATAAATACAAATAAAGGACTCTGAAGGCTACGCATATATGTTGCAAATGAATCCACCCTTAACAGCATTATGGCTTCTGATCCACCCTAAATAACACTGCGCTTACCCATGGAGCTTGTACCTTACATGTACATTGCGCAGGTGTGATGTGACGCCGGCTAAATCGGTGTATTCTAAACTAGGACTAATTACACTAACCTTGAAACCTCAGTACGGATAAGACGTCCGCTTCTTGTGGCTTTCATCGAAAAGAACGGCAGCTGCTCGAATTAAACGTACGATTCACCAATAACGGCTTAAATTTCAGGCATTTAATGAGAAGTAGAAACATAACCTACGTGAAGGATAATGCAGCCGTGGAAACAATCCCACGTAACTTGTAAGGCATTAAGTCGTACCTCTTAACTTCAAATGTTTTGTAACTACACTGCTACCAGGGATTGCGGAGAGGGTGTAGGGGGGGGGGGGGGGGGTGGGGGGGGCCAAAACCACCCTTCCCCTTTTTGGAAGGGCGGGGAAAAAAAATTACCCTGTTTATTTTTTTTTCCCCCTTTTTTTAAATATTTAAAAAATAAACGTCAATTTTAATTTTTTTAAAGACAACGATTTATTATTCTTTAATTCCCCAAAAATTGTTTTTTTTTTTTTTTTTTTTTTTTTTTTGTATTTTTTTGGTGTTTTTTCTTTCGACTAAATTGCTATCGATCTCCTATGCGTCCACCATTCTCTGCTGAGTCGTCTTATACTCTCTTTCGTATGCGTCTTTGTCTGGTCGTTCGCTGGTCTCAGGTGGTCGTGGGATGGGTGGGGCGGGGGGGGTGGTCTTTGGGGTGGCTCAAGACACCCCTTCCCTCTTTGAGACGATCGGGAAAATAAATTTACCTGGTTCATTTTAGTTCACCACTATTCTCAGTACTTACAAAATTAACGTCGAATTTCATATCTTTAAAGTGCACGCTGTCCTGCTCATTAATTCCGCAAAACTTGATACTTTTCTATTTTTATCTCTTTTATACGATACTTTTGAGGGTTTTCTCGACGGCAAAATCTACAATTTGAGTCAATTTGTTTCAAGGTTTGTTGCTGAATGGACTGTAAGGTTTTCAACTGTAACATGATTGCGTTCAATCCCCTGTTTCTATCCAGAATTCATGGTTTTCGACCACCCTTTCTCATTCGGACCACGCTCATTTGGATGACTCCCCCCCACCCCCCACTCCCCAGAAAAAAGGCCACTTCCGAGTAGCCCGAAGCCTCTGTTTTAAAGCGAGGCTAAGTGTAAAGCCAATGATTTTCGTTCTCTTGATCTTCCTCCGCTGTCCTCGGCTATTGTTGTATGTTGTAAGTTCAAGCGAATATTACAGTGCAGAAAGAAAAGGAAAAAGAGAAAGAGACAATAACCTACCCTAAATTTTTCTGGAGTCCATTCATGGGAGAAGAGTAAATTTCCTAAGCTGTAAGCAACAAATCGTTTGTCGCGGTAGCTGTACGGCTGCATCACGTGCGGATGAGAGCCAATGATGACATGCACGCCGAGTGACGTCAGATACGTAGCTATTCGCCTTTGTAAGCCATTCATTCGAGGACGGTATTCTCGGCCCCAGTGCATCAAAATAACAATTACGTCAACTTTTCTTGCCTAAATCAGACCAGTCAACGGAGAGATATTTAAGGGCATATAGATACCTCTTGGAGGAAATACAGTGCACGCGTCTTCCTTTTTCACCCTATTTTTATATGTTCTAGGTTAGTTTTATTCAAAAATATTTATATTAAAATAGACGATTTTAATCATAGAAAAAAATAGAAGAGTGGAAAAATGACAGAGTACTAGTGTGAAAATGGAGTGTTTAGGCCGAAGTGTGTCGTGGTCAAGGAAGTCATTTATGTCGTGACTTTTAAAGGGAAAAAATTATGCTCTTTCTTCACAATGTTATGAGGCAGACACCATGAAGCGTCAATTGATAATGTTTTCCTAATTTTTGATGCCTTTACTCTCTATATATCGGTAATAGTGTTTTTCATTTACAACATTGCCAAATCCAAAGAGCAATCTAGCCATTCCTTGAACAAATTAGGCCCTTGTCTAAAAACTGCGTTATACGCCGACATACATAAATTATGTTCTTACTGCGATAAAAACTGGAATCCTGGCCTACCTTTAATCTTTCAACATCAACTCTTGCAACATCTCTACGATAAATAGCTGGTCCTTCCTTGAAAAGACTCCTAACTTCAGTGCAGTTTTGAACTTTATCAGTTTTTCCTCCATGCGTCAAACAGTATGCTAAGACCCCGATCTTTAACGATTTTCTCTCTAGGATGACAGGAACCTACAAAACTCAAAAGAAAAAAACAGGCGCAAACCGGTTTGTTAACCTTCCCTGGTTCTCCTATTACGGTGGATGTTCACATGGCCGTAGAAATAGCTAGGGGGAGGTGTGGGGAGGGGGGGCAGCAGTGCCCCCTTCAGGAGTGGGCCTCTAATCCATTAAATTTAAGTGTGCCACCAACACTACTTACCGTGCTGCCCTCTCATTTTCAAATTCGTTCCCTCAAGTCTGGTTCAATCAACAAATCGAAAATATCTTAGAACGGGATGAAATTTTCCCTGAATAAGTACATTCTTGTGTCAATTAACGTACAATTTTCCTCGAGTTCCAAATCACTGTGTGTAATTAAAAATCCAAATTTCTTATATCTAAACATCTACGTTGGAAATGATTATGCTCGAATATTACAATTAGTAAAGGTTTGAATATTAAAGGCTCACTTTACAGCATGCTACAATAGTTATTAATTACCTGATGAGAGTTGAAGGGTCCGTAAGTTGCACCAACAGCTTTTATTCCAGCATTTTTCAAAGTGTTTACTGTATAATTCACGGGAAACTCGCCAAAGTCATTAAGGTGATTATTTGCTATCGTCATGACATCAAATCCCGCAAGCCTGCGAAAGAACTTGTGTACTCTTCAAGCCAGCTCTCTGATTGTAATATCCGGCACGAAAGGAGAGCGATCTCACGCAGGGGCAAGCGTTTGGTAAAGAGTATCCTCTGCGCGGGGAAATTCCCTGGGTCTCGCCTTTCCCTCGCTTAGCCGGCGTTAGCGGAAGCTCTCGATTCGAGTACTCAAATGGGGAGCTTCCACGCAGGCTAAAACAGTCAAATATATGGAAAATCTAAAGCAAGCCCCCGGAGAAATTTAAGCACAGGCACGCCCCCAAATTTTTTAGTACAATCTTTTGCTTTGTAGCTTTAGTTTACAATTGATATTTTTTTTCAGAACAGCGGTTTTACGGAAATTATTCAACATTAGATTCTCATACAAACACTGTAATTTTTCACACGTTTGCCTACTCGTCAAGATGGCGTCGAAAACCGTGACAAGGTCTATTATCTGTTTCACGGGTCAAGTAAAATCGCTCTATTATATTATCAGGTAAGGTACTGATAAGTCTTTTTCTCTAAGGCAGGAATGTTGTTGATCCCCCCCGATGCTAGGAAAAGGAAAAAAAATGAAAATAAACAATGTCCACTGTTTCTCCTAACCTACCTTAAAGCTGAAACACTTTGTTTTTCAGCGTAGAGAAAAATTACTTTTGGTCCCACATTTTTATTTTCCAGCGATTTCTTAGGAACTATGGGAGACTCCAGGTTTGCAAAGGAAATGTCCGCATCTCTGACGTACTGGGCCACATGACTCAAAGTGTCTTTGTAGCAGTAAAAGTTGCGATGGACATCAGTGCGTACTGGATCCGAGAAACTGATATCTCCCGCGAAAACGAGGCTTACTGTTTCTACAATCAGATAAATCAGTTCATTATTTCTTCAAATATCTCTGTTTCTGATAAGTTTAAATATCCTGGCTAATTTTTTTTATTATTGGATAATGCAATTCTATGAGTTCTGGCTTAGCATGAGCCATTATACCATGCTCTCCAAATATGGTAACTTTTCGCGTCTGCTCAAAATTAAAAACAAACTGAAAATCGGTTAATATTACATCTAAAGTCGGGAAGAATTCTCGATATTTTTTGGGCGTTTTTAATAAAACAATTATTCCACTCGCGCTTGTTGGATACAAGATGATTATAGCCAAGAGGCGCTACGAGCGCCTCGTTGGCTATCTACTCAGCTGATGTCTAACGCGCACTCGTGGAATAATTGTTAAATAACCAGGTAGCGCTGACCAAAATTTGGAAGATGTTTGGGTTTCGATCCGTCTATTATCACAGTTTAACAGTCGTGTATTGTTAGTCAAATTGTCAGTTGTCCAGTCATTTTCTCGTAGTTAGTTTTAATTGAGTCCGTCAATAGATGACCAATAATAACAAGAACCGCTCAATCAGGTCAATAAAATGAGTTTAATGCCGTCAACTGATGTAATACAACTCACTTTGACTCTGAAGATGACTGTCAACAACAAAAAAACATGATCATCAGAAGGAGGAACAAACTCTGCAAAGATTACATTCGGAAAGCTCCTTTTCTAATAACGGATCGTGCAGGTTTCGTACCTGAATCTTAAATATTTGATTCAAAACAAATTTGTCTCATCTTCGTTTTATTTCAGGACCAATCAATAAACAAAGTACCATTTCCTCTGTTAAAATTATTTGGAAGTAGACATACAAGAAAAAAATGTTTCACCAGGCTCGGTACAGTGTATGCATATCGAAGGAAGGCTTACCTTTATGAACCTGATGTTGATTAACGATTAAGGAAAACAATGATGTGATAAAAGATTTTCTTACCTTCTCTGGCTAATACCGTTTTGAGACCGAATAGTGTCCCCCAAACACAGCAAATAGCAAATAAGCTTATTTTCTCTCTTATAATAGCAGACATCGTGTGTAGGTTTGGCCTCAAGTTGCACTTCGCATGAATTCTTTCCTCAAAGTGATAAAATTCGCGGGATGAAAAGGCCTATGGGCTCATCAGGTACCCTTAAATTATTGCGGGTGGGCGGTAGCCATTTGAGCTAATTTTTATACGTTAATTCAAAACGTATAAATTGTGTAAATTGGCTAGATGATGTTTTCCCAAATCGGCAACAGTATGCCTACCAAATTTCCTTCTCCTCTTTTCTTTTTCAAACGCGTGTGATTTTCGTATCAATATTACCCCAACTTTTTAAAAAATCCGAAGACTTCTGACCAGTAGAGCCGGAGAATTACGACTAACTTCGAAGACTACCGAAGGTTTCCGAAATGTTGCGATTATTTCCTAAGGTTTCTTAAAGGTTGCGAGGAATTGAGAGATCTTGCCTAGATCAAGCCATTTACTACTTGTTACTAGACAAGCAGAGCGGAATTGGGAGTTGCACTGTACGTTTTCGAAGCCGCAGGCGTGTGACACAAGTGGTAGGTTTACAACACTCGACATTGACACCACGGTTTTAATGGTTGGTATCTTCTGTCGTAGGTGTCGCATTTCTACTGGTGTTGTAGATGTCAGGTGCCAGGTGTCAGCAATGCCAGCAAGACATAATCGATCGCTAAGCCTGTGAATCGCTAGAGACGTTTCGCAGAAAGATTCCGGACATATTTTACGTCATCAGCATGGAATTTCTGTCGCATCCCCAATGGCGAGGAGCGAATAGACTGCAAGATAGTCCTTATTTTTGCGTGAAGTATATTGAGAAAAAACTGACTGTGTTGCAGTCTAAGGAGCGAAGAAAGGCGGTTGTATTCGCAGGTGCCATGTCTGAAGGATTGTTTTAACGTTGCGGGAGGCAGACGCAAACAACGGATCATCATTGGCCAATTCTGGGTACCAGAGAAATTATATTCAGGCGTAGTTTTTCAATCTTGTCTGAATCGTTTTACGACCGTTGATTTGGTTCGATCCAAGTTTTGTTAGTGGCCTGTTGATAAAACTCAATACAGCAAACCGGACGACAGTTTCCTCCTAAATACATTGAAAACACTTTTTGGGCTATCCAGCGTACTTTTTTTTAGATCTCTAGAAGTGTATTCTAAGCGGCGCTATAAAATTTGAATCTGTTCGGTCATCCTAGGGCAACTTGAATCTTTTAGAAATTACAAGGGCTTCAATATCATTTTTCCCAAAAATTTTAGATGAAGGTGAGAATTTTTTTGTTTCTTTCTCCATCAAATTTTTGAATCCGAAAATTTTAGGTCTCCTTAAAAAAAAAGCTCAACCTGGGAGGTGAAATTTGAAAAATTAAACTTCAGAAAATAGTAGGGAATTTATTAGGTAAGCTTCTAAATTCTAGGCAATATTTGCTTCTTCGGACAGATATTTTATAGAAAACAGTCGTTGTGTGCCCCTTTCAATATACCAACGTAGAACGATTGAAAAACTAAGATCTCCTACTGCGGTGTTAAATTGACTCAGTCAAGTCGGTTAAATCTTTGTGCTTCTCTTCATCAACTCAGTTGATGAAACTACTCAATACTTGTGTTTCCCGCAACTTAGACAGAACAGTCTTTCCTAATGCAATCCTATTTGGCCAATTGTAGCTAGTCAGTCACGTGGTACAAAACCGCCACGCTAGAGAACAGGGGACGCGCTGGAACTAGACAAACAAAGAGATTATATCATTTAAAATGGTAATTTCCTTTGTTTGTCTTCTCCCGATGCGTCCCTTGCTCTCCAGTTAAAAGGGACTTCAAGATCATGTTACACGGAACGATTCGCAACGACGACTTTTAGCGCAACACAGGGTTGCGATGTTGCAACAATGTTGTAACCATTCCAAACACGGTCGCAACAATGTTGCAGCGATATGTTGCGCTAAAAATTGTCGTCACGAATCGTCTCGCGTAACATCACCTTTACGATCCGACGACGCGATTGTTGCGAAAACGTTGTTTAAAAAGTGAATTTACGTTCTTCCAGTGCTGCAGTGACAAATGGTACCTCTTCTACTGGTTTCACATACCTAGTTTAGAAACACTACATCCCTTTTAACTGCTGTAAATGCACCGTCTATTTAATATGAACAGAATATTAAACCAGGAGGGTTTCTTGTCTCCTTCAAATCCATAAAATGCGTCTATTAGCCATTTCTGGTCCTTTTACAGACCGAAATATACTGAATGACAGATTTCCCAACCTTTTCATATACTTCAACTGATGAAATCCCTTCCCTTTCTTGTCTTTCTTACACCTGAAGCCCGAAAACGGTACCGAAGCCTTTCCGTTTAGTCCATTATCAGGATCACCCCCACTCACCCCACCGAGCAGTACCTTTTGTCGTGTGCATGTCGTTGGTTCTTTCGTGCTACAGATACAGTAAATACCCGCATGTTAACCTGTTCCAGGCTGTGAGATAGCCGGGTCCGCAGAATTGAGAAAGGGCGAACGCAAAAAAAAAAAACAACAAAAGGGAGGAAACTGAGGAGAGAAGGGGCCCGCCCCCCTTTTTGGCGCGCTTTTCACTTTCGCGCCTTTAGGTCCTTTAGCCTCGGACAGGCTACTAGCCGCGTGTAAGAACCTGGTTTTAAGAACCTTGTGGGCTAAAATTTGTGAGTTAAGCCCCCTCCATATAAGAGCCTGTTTAGTCTAAAATTAGTCTATAAAAAATTTAGGCTCGATTTCCGCCGTCTCAACAGCGGCTGGTAATAAAGCCTATAAAAAATTTTGCACTCTTGAGCACATAAGATAAGTCAACATTTAGGACCCTCTTTGGAGACATGCAGAGTTTACGTAACTATTAGAACTGAATGTAATAAATCGGACAAGGCATTACGTTATGTTCTGGAGAAAGACTTCAAAATTCATGTGGTCGGTGTTTTAGGCCTAGGCCAAACGTCGAACTTTAGATAACTGTTAATCTGATGAGACGAACCAAACTTAGTGAGTTAGGTTCATGAAACGTTCGACGTCTGACTCACTTGAGTTCGTTTGAATGAGTTTGGATCGTCCAACAGATGGACGCCATTTCTCGACGTGCTCTGTTGTGTCTCTTCCCACGGGGAGAAACATAATGTTATTAAAAGTATAGCTGAAAAGTCTCGAAAATGTGAACTATAACTAAGGTGCAGTAAGATAGCAGGGGCAACCAACGTCAATTTTTGGAAAATATCTGTTCGGAAGACGATTTGAGATCTAGAATTTTTGGAACATTTGTTGTACAATTTCTTGTTTGCCTGCCTCTCCTAGGATTTGCGAACAACAAAAAATGGTATAATTGCCAATTCTTAATGGATTTTACCCTAAAAAGGTCTCCTAGAATTTTCGGGAGCCTTTTTTCTGGCTGAAATTTTAGAAAAGGTAAGTTTTGATCCCTATAATTTTCGGATCACTAGACTTTCAGCTAGGAAATCCGAACAGACGAAAAATTTTTAGGGGATAAAAATATGCTTACATCTGTCAACAATGTTCAACGATGGGCTCCTGGCCATGTTTAATGTTCAAGGTTCGACAATGCTATGTTTAAGAGGTTTTGAACTATATTCTCGTTGGGTTCCAATGAGATAACACTTCCGGGCTCAGTGATATTCTATCGTCCTTATATCTTTGCGTTCGTTTGAGCAGTCTAGCTCGTTTGTCCCCTTTACACATGACGACCCCCAAAAAAGGATGGCGTGATGTCGTGACGTAAGACATCCATGAACGTGACAAATTAAATAAATTCTTTCACCTCGAAAGAACGTCACGCTATATCTTTTCTGGAGAGAACGTGGCGCACTATCGCTGCTTCCCGGTGCATAGCGGTAAAAATCTACCGTAATTTCATGAATTTTTTAGGAAATTCGTTTCAACCTTCTCACCCTTAATTAACCACTTTTTCTCTAGGCTGTTTCGTTTTGGAGGAAAGACGTTTGAGC